CTCCCCTATTTAAGTTTAACCCATTAGCCCTTGTCCTATCACTACAGTCCCTGATGAAGAGTCCATTGCTTTACAACTGACAGGATAAACCTGCAATATTTCTGACATAACTATATTATCTGGTCTTTTTGAAAGGTTTGCATTTTATAAAGCATCAATAATTTTAATCTGTAAAGTTTAAATTCTGGTTAGTTAAACTGTTCCTCTTGGGACAGAGTCAGTCCTGAGTAAGAGTACATGTTTTGTTTAATAATGACAGCTTGAGCTCTCTTTTTCAGTCTTCCAAGTTAAGTTTCTCATGAAATATTACTAGAAAAAGGTGACCTGTAAATCACAGGTGCCTGTCAGTAGACTGTGCTGTTGTGCAGTGAAGGCTTTTTGACAGCAAAAACCTACTTGTAGTTCTAAAATAAGAAATCGACTCCAGTCATATAAGACAGTAATGAAAAGGCACTTTCTACCACAATTGTCTTAAATTTCAGTGAAAGAGTAACAATGTGATCAGTGATTTAAAGGAAGGTTAATCACGAGTCATCTGACCTTGCCTTAGTTTGGTGTTATAGTGGCTAAAGAACAGAGATATTTAAAATTATGCCATACCATCTAAAGCAAGATTCCAAATAAATAAAACATGAAGACTGTGATTTCTTTAGTGGCTAGAATATTACTCAAATGTTTACACATGTGGTAGCTTATTCCCTTTTCTTTCAGCTGAGCCAAATCAGACATTTGTATGTTCACACATTAAAGCGGTCAATGTAATCTCTGTGGTTTAAAAGGATATTCAGTAAATATGGTAGTTGTGAGGTTGGGAACATTTTAAAATGAGTTTTCTGCTGGAGAAACCATGATGTGAAAAATATGCCTGACCCCATCTCATTTACATTTTACATCTCAGGTTGGGGAGGGGGATTGGAGATGACAAGAGTTAAAGAAACCACAATACTGCAAGAATAACTCTTTTGGAACCTGTATTTGTATGTGGACTACTTGAAGTGTCAAATAACTGGATCATTTGTGTCAACGAGAACTGAATATTTCTGTGGACTTTCTGTATATGTCTAATAAGCATTTGTTCTTGCAGGGCTATGGAAAAGCAGATCATTCAGTGACTGTGGAGATACTGAAAAAAGCATATCCAGATTATGAAATTACATGGTCAGATGACAAGAAATAAATTGGCAATTGATGTACACAACAAAAACTCGTAACTCTGCGAACTGTACTTTAATAAATAAAATCAAATGTCTTCTGTGTGTTACCATAAATCTGGAGTAGCTGGACTCTGCTGTGATTTATAATAGGGTTAGTAATTCCCAGATATATCTTACTTTTCAGATCATTCCTTTGTGCAGAATCTGCAGTTCTAAGCCTTTTTCTTTTCCTTTTGATATGCCATCTAATTAAACGCTCCCACAGCATCTTACCTGCAGTTTATTTTCATCCAGTGCTGTCTGATACATTGTAGGATACATCAGGATTTTGCCATTAACTTAAGCGCCACAGGACCGGACCTGTTCCCTGTTTTTTTGGCCACAGTGTTTTCAGTTTCCTTTTTTTCCTGTTACTCTTTAGGCTTTTCAAATTCCTTTATCCAAATTTACAAAAACTGGGGGAGGAAGGAGAGGGGAGGGTTGATTATTACAGTTCTTCACCAATGATGTAAAGGTTTGATTTACTCAACAGTTTTGAAAATTCAGCATTTATGTTCCACACAAGTAATGACTGCGTTCTTTTGTGTTCCTGTGAGATTCTCGCCTATAGTAGACTGATGGCAATGTCAAATTCTGACAATACTGATTTCTCTGTACTTTTATTCCCTTTATGATATTTTTTTCTCTTTTATAGCAATAATTAATTTATAGGTAACTACCTTCCTGCCAGAGCCAGTATACCTAGGCAGTGTCTGAATTAACTTACTACATGTGTCATGGCAGCACTTTGCCTTTCATTTGTTGTTACTTGCTACAATTTTCACTTTTTTTTTGTTTTCTGCCAGTTGTCTTTTAATGCTGCTGTAGATTTCAAGGGAATATGCTTTGTTCTTATGCTTACTTTGTTGACTTGCAGTCTTTAAGAGGTATTTCTATCTAAATCCCAGTTCTTCCCTTTGCTATTTCCTACTGCACTTATCTACCAGTATCTGGTGGTATAGAGCAACTTTTTCTTTTCAATGTGTATGTGACTCTTCAAGTACAAGCTATGAAAGTTGAGAGGCTTTAGTTGAGTTTCTATCACAAAAAAAAAAAAAAATCCTGTTGTTATTAATACACTACTAATGCATCATGTCACCCTTGTGTCTTTGTTTTGACTGGTTGGGCAAAATTTCTTGTACTTGTTCTCAAACCTTTCAGTCTTTCCTCATTAGAAGAGTTCCATCTCAATCACCTGGGAGCAGGGTCTCTTGAACCTGGTGTTATAGGTGTTGTGGTTGGCACCTGCTTCCCCCCACAAGCAGCCTGGACTTTTTCCTCCAGCACCCCTGTGCGCTTTTGCATCTGCTGTTTGCGCTTCTCTTTACGTTCTTGTGCAGTAAATAGTCTTCTGGCTGCACCACTTCAAAAGCCATGATGACATTGATCACAGGCTTTTTTTTTTCTCCACAAGATTTTGATTTCAGAATGCGATTAAATGCCTGTGTACCTAGTAACCAAGAATAGCATACAAGTCAATAATTTGCAAATTAGGCACTTCCCACTTTGATTTTCCGCATGGTTTTTTCCCCCTAAGGTTTAGTGAAATAACGGTAATTGCCAGTATACAAAACTGATCTTTCTAATAGCCTCATTTCCCAAAACTAGCAAATTATCTTTAAAGGGAAGTCATCAGTTAAGGACAGTGCCTGTTAAAACAAACAAGCTTTTTAGTCGAGTTTCCTGAGATGTTTTATGACTGATTTTAATGTTTCCCTCCACAATAGTTACGGGAAGGACATAATTTAGACTGGATTTCCTATTGTGATGACTCTTTCAAAGAGGAAGGGGGTGGGATAAGGGGAGAAAAGGTGTGATGATTTGCGATGAGCTAATGAACTGAGTTACCAGCTAACCCCTGTCTTTGTTTCTTCACACAAGAAATTGTGCCTGTTGTTTTCTAAAGCTGTGTCATTGGGGAAAGGATAATTTCCCTAGCTATTAAGTAATATGTGCAAGTATTAAAAGTGAGTGAAAAATTTTTATTCCAGATCATAAAGAGAAGCAGGAAACTGGTCACGAGGGTGGCGATGATCTGGCAGGTAGAGAAAGCCTTAATGTAGATTTAGGAAACTAGTGTTGTTTGTTCTCTTGGTGTTCCAATATCCGTTAGCCTACAAAACTTAAGTGTTGAATTTGGCTTCCTCTCAGCATGTATCTGCTGAATTTTAGACTAGAACAGAATTCATCTGGAATTGTGGAAATCCCAATGCTAATTTTGCTGATTTCACCTGATTAAAAAAAAAACGAAAATCATCCTCTATTAATTCTTATCTGCAATTCTGAAATGGGAACTTTATACTGTGTGGGGTTTCCTGTTTTGCAAGTGTGCGGTCACTGTGAGATGGTGGCTCTTCACGTGAAGGTCCTAAAAAATCTGATTCTGTATTTGCACAAAAAGAGCTATGCTTGAGCAATCCAAGAATAAGATTAAGCTAGTAAAGGAGTAGTATATTAAACTGAAAACAGCGAGTTTGTGGAGTATTTTCAGGAGAAAATATAGGAGATTGCAAGTGCCTTCGTTTACTCATCAAAAAATACACCAGATTTTTGTTTTTAACTATATTTGTTGTCATAGTAGGCAACATGTCTTGCTGCAGGTATTGTTCTCTGAAACAGCATTAGACCTGGCAGGTGCAGAACAAGCTATTCAGTCACTGGACAAGCCACTAATTGTCTTACAACTGAGGTTTGAAAAAATGGCAAGTGCTAGTTGCTTTGTTTCCAACTGTTTCCAGTTTTGACAAAAAGAACTGTTAACAGTGCTGTATTGATCTGACAAAGCTGTAACTACTTTTTTTTCCTCAGTCTGTAGTCAGCAGTTATCATTGGTACGTTTTAGAGATGATGCAGAAAAATTCCAAAGCACAATCACACCCATGGCACAACTGACTGCTTTTTTCCTTCTCGCCTGTAAAAGAACAATCTCAGTAGTTTCCAAAGCATGCCTTTAGAATGGTCTACTTGCAATTGGTTTTGAAACAACAGTAGTTAAGTCTCTTTTGTAGAGTACAGGAAATCCTCTATGACTCTACCTTAATAGAAACATGGACAAAATAGGAATCTTGCAGTGGGCTTTCAGTCTTCAGTGACAGGAACTTTACGCAATAATTAAAGCTATTCAGGTAACTGCTGTTATAAGTTTCTTTGCATCCTGTCAGACTGCTGTCCTTTCTCCCCTACACTGAGTATCCTCAGATCCAGTCCACTGTAGTGGTCGACTGTCTCTAAGTTTGTATTTACGCAAGGGCACTCAATAAGGCAGTACATCATGATAAGCAGAAGCTTTGATGGACATGTTAAGAGTTGTCTAATAGCTTGTTGTCCAGTTTTGGTTAAGACAAAACAGGCAATGGATTTTTTTTTTGTGTGAATTGTTGGTGACACCAAGTGCTGTTGGTGACACCAAGGTTTTATAGTTCTTTGGGTTTTTTCAGTTTTGACGAGAATGTCTTCGGCAACATAACCATCTTCAGCCTGGGACGCAGGAATGACTTGTACCCAGGTGTCTTTGAACACTTGCTGCCCTGCCAAACTGCTGGAAAGAGTGAAGAGCTATTAGTGTTCAGTAGTACCCTCCCTCCCCATCCACCAAGTCTTGAAAATAGGTCATAGTGTATGGGCAATTAATTTCTGGAAAAATACTGTTAAAAAAAAAAGTACAGCAATCTGCAGCACAGTTTATCTCCTTTCCCAGCTGTCACCTAATGCTTGGTTCTGTCATCCTTCAGTTCCCTGGATTGCACGTATAGGTTTTTTTGTTGTTGTAAGGAACTTCTCTTTTACAGAATCTTCTTTCAACTCAGCTTCTAAAATAGAAACGTTTTATTTATTTCTGAAAACAGTACAGCTTTTCCCAATTATTTTCTGAAATTTTCTTAGAGTGGCATGTCAAAATCTGAACGTGAAAATTCACAGACCACAGTAGTAAATAGTCTCTGGTGCAGTTTTTCAAAGGCTTGAATAAAAATCGTGTGTGTTATATATGGAAACATGACAAAAGATTTCGTGGAATTGCTAGCAGAATAGAAGGCAAATGATAAATACAGTCATATCGCCCTCTGGTGGCAAAGCAGCAGAGCACATAGGCATGCAGTCCACTGAAATCCTGATGCTGCAGTTAAACCGTATCAGAGCTGGGAGCCTGACCGCCGGGAGCTGCTTCTCCCACCACATGAGGATGATAAATCATCTTCGTTGAGGCTGCACTCAGCAGCCGCTCCTGTGACTTCCAGTTCTGGCACTGCCAAAGCATTAGAGTCAGGGACAGGGGACAGTGACTTACTTCATTTAAAAATACATGTAAATGATAATTAATTGGCATAAACAGACGTAGGTTTAAGCAGAACTCCTTTTCTGTCCAAAATTAGATTCAGAAGAGTCCTTCACTTCTAGTCAGACATCAGAATTTGTCAAACATCTCAATAACTAGCATCCTTAATCTATCAAACCAGAATAACTCAAGAGAGGAAAAAGCAGAGACATGAGGAATAAAACGTTTTGTCTTCAGCATATTTCTGAAGGACCAGTGGTTGAATTTTAACTGGACTCTTTAAAGGCCATTTCAATAATACACCGCTGCAGTCCTTTGTCAATTGTTTTAACTGTGCTGGTCTTAAACACATTTCTGTCCTCAATGAATTTCTCAAAGAGGAGGATACCACCACCAACCCCAAAATAATGTTCTTTGCTTGCCAAATACACCCGGCCATTTTTATCCAAGAGCTGAGCCAGTGTGTCATGCAAAGAACCATAGTAGTCGGGATTATAGATAGTCTCAGATGTGAGTATTACATCGTACTTTGAAAAGGGTTTCTTGCTGCTTAACAGAAGCTGGCTGACTTCAGACCACTCTCCAGAAAAAAATCTGCATCTGGTGAGCACATCAGGTAGATGCTCTGCTTTCTTGGGCCTCTTTGAAGGAGGCTGGCTAGTTTTAGTGTCACCTCCACTGCCTGTCCTTATGCAGTTAGCCACTGCATTAGGCAAAGTTATTTCATCAATCACTGTGCTGTTGTAGTCCTGAAAATGGACTTTTTCAGCTTTACCCTTTAAAGCAACTATTCCCAGCAGACCAGCCCCACAGCCAAGATCCAATACAGTCTTGTTGGCGAATTGTATTTCAGCCTCAGAAAAGTAGTCTATAAGATCAAAGGTGCATTCCCAAATTTTCAGTCCTCCCTCATAGACTCCCGGGATGAGATCAGAATGAGAAGAAACACTTTTAGACACAATGCCTTCTTCATCAGCATTACCCAAGCATTTCATTTCCACTACAGACATGTTTATGTAATACAGGCCTGATACTGTTTCCATGACTTTATTTTCCAATACTTTGTTGAGATCTTCAGGTATGTTATGCTCCTTGGCAACTTTAAAGCACAAAGTTTTCTGTGATGGTTTCTCATCTTGGTGATTACTGGTACCCAGCCTTGGGCTGGGGTCTCCTACAGCATCAGCAGCTTGCCTATTTTTTTCTGTGGATTTCTGCTTGTGTTTTGGAGAGTGCAGTTGTAAGTCCATCTTATCATGAGTGTCTGCTTCATTGTTGTCATATTCATCAATAGAAAAATTAAATCGAAAAGCCATTTTCAGGAATAGCAGTAACAAAAACCAGCAGTCACCTTAATTTATTACAACCAGAAACAGTCATCTAAAAGCAATCCTGATATAAACAACATTATTTTTCTTTTTTCTGTAGAGAATGTTTTTATGCAGTTATTGCTATGGGGAAGAGTGCTCTGCAGGTAGAATCTCAGATGTTTTACCAATGATCAGGTGAACAACATCTGGAAATAAATAGTTTTACGTATCATTAAACTGCCAAATAGTAGTACAAACAAATTTCATTAAAAAAAAAACAAACACCAAAACACCACCCCCCCCCCCCCCCCAACCCAACCCAACCCAACCCACCTTCTAAAGATGAAATGTATAAAAACTTACCAGTGACCGCATCTCTGCCGTAATGTAGGTATAGGCCGAGGTTGTTATGGCCAAGCTTGCGTTCCCTGCACCCCAGCTGAAGCATGCAGGCAGGGCAGGATGATTCTGCCCAGTTTATCCACTCCGTGTTCTCTCACAGTGTCAGTGTCCCTGTCCCCCGTACCCGTACCGACCCCCTCTTACCCCACGTGGATAGGCTTCCGTGTTTGCTGAGCGCATGCGCGCTAGCGGAGGAGAAGGGGGCAGGGCGAGCGCAGAGGGTGCTGGGATAGCGGAGGTAATTCTTTTTCCCGCCGCCCGGCCGTGAGGTGAGCGGAGTTTGCGCCATGTCCCAAACAGATCCTGAGTTGCTTCTACAAGAGCTAGGCGGCTGGGACTGGGACCTCTGCCGTAGGGAGCTGCCCGCCGTCCTGCCCCGCCTCCTTATATCCTTCCCGGGAGAGCAGAGCCGTTCGGCTGCTGGGTGGTTGCGGGGAGCTACCCCGAAATTTGGGGAGGGGGGGTGAGGGTGTTCCTCCTGCAGCATTGCACAGTTTAAGCAAGTAAATCCCTGGGAGGCAAAGTGCTGCAACCTTTGTAAGGGGCTGACACAGGACAGAAAACCTGTGCGCCGCTATTTCGCTGGAAACGAATACAGCCTTTCACTGAAATAAAAGATACATGGTAGAAAATAGCGTGAGGTTAATTAAGTACTGTATGTAATTTCCCCCCCCCCCCCCCCCCCCCCCATCCCCAAACTTCCAAGATTTATTCTCCAATGCACCGTAAAAATACCTGTGCTGATCGTTCAGGTACTCAGGTACCTGCGGTGGTAATGGAGTATCCCCACCAATTTCATGCAGTAGATGAAGTGTACATGAAACAGTGTGAGAGAAGTCATTGTGGCTTCTGCAGAAGCTTTAAACATAACTTTCATTGCAGAGAGTTTCTTTAACGTTTTATTACTCTATGTATCAAGAGTCTCAAGACTGGAATGAGCATGTTCGTAAGTAGTGACAAGAAGTGTCTCTTCTTCCTGTGGATCATTGTATTGCAATTGCATTGTAAATTCTGCACTACTTAAAAATGCTTATGCTATAACTAGTGACATTCGTGATCTTCAGCAGTCCTGCTGGATCTTGCATGTTACGCGAATTGCATGTTGAATAAGCTTTATAAAAGCCCATAAAGAACCTATGCATGTAAGGCTGTTTTTTCCTTCCCACTACTGATTTTTAGATCTTTTAAATAAGGGTGCTTTTTATCTTGTATTTTGCTTTTTGGCTGTTATCTTACAAGTGGCCAAACTCCTGTAATACCTGATAGTGTTAAGAAAATGAGACTGATATGTAAACTTTCAGGAGTCTTGCTAACATTTGCTGTTAAGTTGCCTAATAATGCAAACTAACGTGTTAAATGTGCAGCTGTCTGCAGTTTTGAGTGTGGGAAATTGTAGTTCCATGGGCAAACAACTGTGCTTAGCCTTCAACTAAGTGTAGTCAGGTGTGATGCTATTATTGATGTGTTTGTGCACCTTGGAGCTGTTATTTCTCAGATAATGCATTTGTGGCAAATGTGTTGACACTCAAAATCAAATACCTGATCTGTTTCCACTTGATGCAGTTCTTTGTTTCATCTGGTAGCTTGCTACATGTTTCTGATAATCTCACATTGTTTTTCTGTAATGCTTAAATATTTTGCTTTGCAGGTGTTTTGAGAATCCTGACTGAAATGTTTTTGCCCCATATCAGCCTTGCTGATTTGGAACAAACTTTTTTCTCAAAAGTATTACCTAAGGTATGACAGTTTCAATTGAATGTGGAATTTCCCTTAAGTCCAGAGCTAAAACCTGCGTAGAATGCAGTGACTCTTTTTTGAGGTCACATGTTATAACTTAAAATTAAAATTTTACCCTTTAAAACTTCTAACAGTTTTTGTTGTGTTGTGTCGTGGTTTAAACCACAATGGATTGTTTTTGTGATTGTTGTAACTCTTCATGGTGGGGAGAGGGTTGAACATGTAGTGTTCTGCTTTCTAGGTTCAGTAATTGAATTGTTCTTTTGAAAAGATTGGGCTTCTTATGAAATGAGCTGGAGAATTTTTACATGAGGTAGCCTCTCAGGAGAAATAAACTGAAGAACGCAGTGCTTACATATCATGAATAAATGTGAAATTTACTTATATTCCTGATTTAAGTTTCAGGCCTCAGCTTATATCTTTTAAGAAGCCTGTAAAAAATGGCCGCTTCTTTTCCATTTTGTTTATTTTATGTCCTTTAGCAAATTTTGGCGATAACAAGAAAAATGCCTCAAAACAGGCATATTCTGAAAAAGGATTACTGTACCCTACCAGCTTATGTAGTGTCCCACTGGTGTCTGGAAGCACCTCAGTGTCTTTGCAGTCTCAACAGTAGCACTCATCAAATACCCAGAAACTTCAACCAAAGGAGAAATTATTGTTGTTTGTAGATTATAGTGTTATTTTTTTTATGTATTCAAAATTTTAATAATTCTAAAAATATCTGAAAATGAAAAGCCTTTTAAAATTATATGGTTTTAACTAAGTAAAAAAAAATAATCTTTGGTAGGATGAGGTACATATTTCAAGTGAATTAGCTGTGAAGTCTGTTTTTTAATAGGTTTTAGAAAAAGTAACAGGTCCTGTAGCTTCTGTTTGTAATTTGGGAAAACCATACGGCAGTTTTTGCTTCTTGGTATATAGTGCTTTGTGATTCCAGTGCTAGAAAGTGTTATTTTCTGCTGTGTATTATGTCAGTAGCCTGTGACTCCCTGCCAAGGAAGCAAGTAGATACAGAATGGTATTGGTATTTGCATGTGTGTTTCTAAATAAAATGTTTTAAGTTTTGTTTTGTTTTGACAGACTTTACAGTTATTTGATAACTTGATGTATGAATTATACAGTGAGGCCAAAGGATTAACCAGCCAGAATACAGAGTTATGCAATACTGTGAGGAACCTTCTACAGGCAAGTCCTGTGAAATACATTACCAAAGGAATGTTTAAATTAGTCTTTGATTTTACCTAAACAGTTAAAAGATTTTTAGTATATTTTTTGCCAGCTGTTAACCATGCAGCTAAAATGTAACTTGATCATCCTTTGTAGTTGAAGTTCAATTAACATTTTGTGCATGATTTGATTACATCTAGTGTGTGATGCTAACCATAATTTAAAACCACTGAATCCTAAATCTCAAATTCTGCTCAAGTTTCTAATGCAAATGGAATGTGATTCTCTGTATTTAAAGAGTGAGTCTGGCACCTATTTATACAGTTGTTTAATTCTGAATTTTAAAATGTTTATAAATTGAGAACAGTAGTCAACAGAAGTATGAAGCTTTCAAAGAGCATATGGTTTTGGAGAAAAGCTCTGGAATTGCCTTTATTATTTTATAAAGCTTCATTCATCCTTAACAAACTTAATTTATGCAAATATCAGTGAACTTTAAATGCCATAAAACCCTAGGTGCGATTCAGCTAAGGAAGATGCTTTTGAAATCATTGCAGAAGTGAAAAACATTTGTTGTTGTTTACTCTTGCTTTAAGACTCTGGTGCAGCTGTTGGAGACTCTGACCGGTTGTGTACGATACGTCTGCACGCTGCAGGAGTGTGTGCCTCTGGAAAGCATCCGCACCCTTCCAGCCTCTGTTCTTTATGTAGTAAAGAACACATTTACACACTGCAAGGTAGGTCCATGTTAGAAGGAGAGAAATTCTTATACTGGTTGGCTTTTAGGAAGCACTTTGTAAGATGATCCTATTTTGAAATAATATTGTTGTTGATTTTTTTTTTTTTTACTTTAATTGTTAAGTGGTTTACACAATGCAACAGTAATTCTTTCTAGAACAGTGAAGATAAAACAAGGTTTTCATAAGGACACAATAGCCTTAATTTTCACTTTTCAATTTGTCTTTTTTATGGAAACATTTACATCAGTTTTCCATGTCAAGACTTGAACTCTGGTGACAAATATCTAACAATTCTAATTTGAAAGTATTGGGAAATATTTGGAATGCCGCTCCCTTTGTTGCTAACATTGCACTGTTTTGTTCAGAAGTATGATCTTAGGTTTGTATATTGAGACTGAATCCAAAGCCTGGTTAAAATCCCTAGAGCTGGGTAGGATCCATTAGTTGTTGGGGAGGCTGCAGGTGAATAGCATTTTGTATTTAACAAACAGGGGTTGGTAGCAGAATCTGTAGATCTGGCAGGATATTGGGTTACAGTAGGTAAGTTTTCGCTTTTTTTTCCTCAGTGTAACATTGGACAAAGCTCAGCACATGAAAAATCAGGCTGTGATTCCTGAACTTTTTTTTTAAACCTTTTCTCTGTTTCCTACAGGACAGTGAATCTGTGTACTGTGGGCAACTTCACTTGATTTCTGACCTCTTACAAGCTATGTTCAAGGAAGCTTACTCTCTTCAGAAGCAGCTGATGGAACTGCTTGATACAATTTCCATGGGCTCTGCTTCTACTGAAGATAACATCACAGATATGGTGTCAGGTATATGTGGATCTAACACTTTTTTTTTGTTTTCTCAGTCTTTTTTCTATAGAGAGTATGCCTGAATTTTTAAAACAGGGTTCCAAGTATGCTCAGTTTCTGCTGACCTGATCAACCTCCCAGAAAGCAGCATTCTGAAGCTATAAATATTTCTGCTTTTCTCCTGAAACTTTCTCTGGAGTGGAGCATGTTGTGTAGGTTTGTAGGAAAGGGGCAGCACCTAAGTACTGAGCCATTTTTCTGATTTGATGTCAGTGTGGTAATATTAGTGCTTGTGACAGCTGCTGTTTTTCTAGGAGAGTAGCATAACTGTGAACTCATGTATCTGATGTAACTCAGTTGTTGCTGTTGTTATTTCCTCCTTAGTAATCCACACTGTGCTGGA